GAAAACTCGGCTCAAGGGACGAGTACTTTCTTCAGCAATTACCCGACCCCTAAAATCAGCCTGTTTCTCTGAGACCCAAATCGGCTCTAACCCTAAAGCCGAGCGGCAGCCCCACCTCACCCTCTCTCTTCGTTTTTTTCGGGAACGGATCAGGTCAGTAACCTTATGGTGAGTAATCATGAGTAACCAGCCCACATCAGCATGACATCAGCATCCTCTCTCTCTCCTGGAAAGCCTTTAATTTTCCCTTCTTTAATCTTTGACGGACGATTTCTCACTCATTTTAAGTCGAAATTTAATTTTTTTTGCACAGTTAGATCAGGTTAATTGTGCTCTTCAAAATGATATCCACTTTAATATATTTTTCGAACAAAAAAAATTGAGCAATTTTTTACCAGTCTATACCATATGGTATTGACTGGTATTGAAATAAAAGCATACCTATGGTTTGAAAAACGTACCATGGTGGTATGAACAAACCAAGACTGTAGGATGGTTGAATGCATGATAGTAGAAGTATATTAATTGTCATTTACGACTTTTAACATTGTATACCATACAATACCACCCCGTACCAGGGTGGTATTGTATGGTATTGTGTGGTATTTTTTGGTCATGTAATTTGTTCACTCAGAAATTTGTACATCCAATAGATCATGATGAACTCGTCCTTTCTGTGCAAACATTTTCAAAAACGAATTAAAAACGAAGAAGATACCATACAATACCACCCCGTACCAGGGTGGTATTGTATGCAAGGACCAGGATACCCTACCGGACCGGCCGGTCGAACCGGAAAACCGGAAACCGGAGGTAAACCGGCGCAATAGGGCTTTGTACCCTTTAATAACCTGCCGGGCGGTATTTGAGGTTGGACCGCATTGGGCCGAAATTTCGGCCGGTTTAAAACCAACCCGGCGGTCCCTTCATTTAACCCAAACGGCGCCGTTTGATGAAAAAAAAAACGGAATGGAAGGGAAGCAGAGACTCACAAAACCCTACCTGCCTCTCGTCTCTCTCTCCCAACACTCAGCAGCCGCGTCGCGCCGCTCTGGTCTCCACTCTCCCCGCGTCGCCAGCATCCCCAGCAACCCCAGCAACCGGCGATAGTGGCCGCCACTTTCCCGCGACCCCGCCATCACTTCCTTCTTCTTAATCCAAGTTGCAGGTGTGGATCTCTCTCTCTGTTCTTCTTCCCTGCACGCAGAAACAAAATCATTTCAACCTCAAAATCCATTTTAAATCACAGAAAACTGAAATTTGTTTGGAAACAGCGGTTTGTAACAAATTTGGGAAGCTTGTATTCTGTTTTTTTTTCCAATTACTGTTCTTATCCCTAGTCTGTGTGGACCTCGTAATTCCCATACCTAGTTGCAGGTGTAATTTATGGTTTTCTACGGCTGAATTCTTTTTTATGGGTTGTTAATGTCAAGATCATAAGTGTAGCGCACAAAAATCATTCTAATATAGAATCTCTATGGATAAATTGTTGAATCGAACAAAGATGTCGATCAGGATAAAATAACAAACATGGTGAATTTTTTTTTTTTTTGGTAATGCAAACATGGTGAATTGATTTGGTATTGATTGTTAGCCTAGCTAGTAAAAGAAGGAACAAATTTCTACCTGTGATGGGGGCTGACTGATTGTTGTTTTTTTTATTATTGTTTACTAACATTATGTTTATTGTTTTTATTGTGACAACAATGGCTAGCGGGGAAGAAACCCCGGCAGTTGAGCAAGGAGCAGCTTCTAGTACACCACGAGTGTCAACAAAGAATGTACGGGCCAAAACTGATCCGACTTGGAATCATTGTACCTTTCATCTTGAGGGAAAGGTTGAGGTACACACTTGCATATATTGTGAGAAAGTATTCAGAGGTGGAGGAATCACTAGAATGAAAAGACATCTAGCTGGAGTTAGTGGGGATAATACTGTATGTACAAAGGTTCCTCCTGAGGTGAGGCAAAACTTGAGCAAACTTTTGACTGATTATGAAGCTAATAAGAAGAAATCTGAACTTATCAAAGCTGGATTTAAAGAACCTCGTGAGACTAGTTCTTCTAGTGCACATGATGATGGTAATAGTTCTAAAAGAGTTGCTACTTCCACAAATGTGTCTACTGGATCAGTTGACACTTTCTTTGCTCCACGATCAACTTCTGGTAGCCAACCAGGAATAAAAAGTGCCTTAGCAACTAAAGAAGCTGTATTGTATGTAGATCGAGCATGGGCTAGATGGTTCTATGATGCATGTGTTCCTTTAGAAGCAATTAAATCTCCACAGTTTAAAATTGCATTGGATGCTTCTTTAACCCTTGGTCCTGGTTATGGTGGTCCTACATATTATGCTTTGAGGTTTACTTTATTGGATAGCATTGTGAAATAATGTCAGATATTGATTGAGAATCTTAGATCTCATTGGAAGGAATCTGGATGCACCATTATGGCAGATGGTTGGACAGATAATAGGCATAGATCTTTGATCAACTTTCTGATTTATTCTTCTAATGGCACATGCTTTGTGAAATCCGTTGATGCTTCTGGTATGGTGAAGACTGGAAAGAACTTGTTCAAGTTGTTCAGTGGGGTCATTGATTGGGTTGGGGCAGAGAATGTTGTGCAGGTGGTGACGGATAATGCATCTAATTATAGATCTGCAGGGAAGATGATTCATCACCATTATGGTAATATATATTGGACTCCTTGTGTTGCTCATACCCTGAATTTACTTCTGCGAGACATTGGAGGGCTGCCTCATGTTAGGACCCTTGCATATAGAGCAACCAAAATCTCTAAATTTGTTTATAATCATGGCCCACTTTATTACTGGTTGAAGACAAGAGATAATTGGAAAGAAATAGTGAGGCCTGGAGCTACAAGATTTGCAACTACATTTCTGAGTTTGCAAAGTATTTTTGAGCATATGAATGACTTGGAGGCTCTAGTGATCAGTGAATTCTTTCGAGATAGTGAGTTCTCGAAAATGCAGGTTGGAAAGGATGTGAAGTCAATTGTACTGGATCAACAGTTTTGGGTGGATTGTGACTTCATAGTTAAGTTGACAATGCCAATAGTGAAGTTACTTCGCATTGTGGATTCAAATAGTAAACCAGCTATGGGGTATGTACATGATGGGATGATTAGAGTGTCAAAAGCTGTGAAGGCTGTTTGTGGAGATAAGGTGGAGCAGTACAAGCCTTACATAGACCTCATTAATAAGAGGTGGGATAAACATTTGAGCCGTGATTTGTTTGTGGCATCATACTTCCTTAATCCGGCTTTCAAGTATGCCAACGATTTTGAAGATACAAGGCCTATTAAAAATGGCATTCTTGATCTTCTTGAGAGCCAATCCTTATGTCCTGATACAAATGTGGTGCTTGAGGAGCTGAATTTGTATTCTGAAAGAAAAGGTAATTTTGGGAGGAAGCAAGCAATTGATTCTGCGCAAAAGCTACAACCAGGTAATTGAATTTATGTACATTAATACTAGTTCTGTTTATTAAGAATTAAGATACTAACATGTATGCTTAATATGCAGATAAGTGGTGGAAATGGTTTGGTATTGATGCTCCGCATCTGCAAAAGTTGGCTATTCGCATTCTTAGCCAAACTGCTTCTTCTTCTGGCTGTGAATGTAATTGGAGTGTATTTGAACGTGTGCACACCAAAAGAAGAAACAAATTGCAGCACAAAATGCTTAGTGATTTGGTGTTTGTGAATTACAACTTGCGACTGCAGAATAGGTATGAATAAACTTGTGAATTATTACTTGTTCTAGTTTTTATATTTACTATTGAACTGAATCAATATATGCATTCCACTTTGACCAGAGAGTATTATGCCATGAAGAACAAAGAATCATATGATCCCATTTCTCTTGAAAGCATTCATTCTGATATTACTACTGAGTGGTTGATAGAAGAGAATGAAGGGGCATCTTCTAAAGACAAGGAATTGGATATTGATGAGCTCGATCGAGCACTTGCAGAGGAAGGTGTGTGAATTAGTTATTATGATGTGAATTCTAATACGTCATAATTTATAATGTTTCTTACTTGTTTTTTTTTTGTATTGTAGTTAGTGATGAAGAAGACGAAGGAGACGAGTTCCCGAATGTTGATTTTTCTACATTTGGAGTTGCTTGAAGATATGGATTTGATTTCAAACAAAAGATCCAATTAGTAGTTTCTACTTTCTAGTTTGAGACATTGAATTTGTGGTTTGTGAACATTAAAGTTTAAACTTGTGGTTTGTGGAACATTAAGCTTGTGGTTTGTGAACATTAAGCTTGTGGCTTTTGTACTAGTTTCTAAAAATGTATTTGGATGATTATGAGGTTTATTAGGTATTGAAATCTCGCACTTTGTTGAATGTTACCTAAGCTTATTTACTCTTTTACAGTTTCTCAGGCGGTATAATCCGGTTTTATTCCGGTATTTTCCCGGTATGGTACCCTAATTTTGTCGGTACGGTTTTTTAACAAAAAAATAATTTTTTTATTCCAAAAACGGTATTTGCCGGTAGGAAACGGTTGAACCATGGTTGTAACACGATTTACCATGCCAAAAACGATTCCGGTTTGATGGCCGGTACGGTTTCGTAATCCATGATTGTATGGTATTGTGTGGTATTTTTTGGTCCTGTAATTTGTTCACCCAGAAATTTGTAGATCCAATAGATCATGATGAACTCGTCCCTTCTGTGCAAACTTTTTCAAAAACGAAGAAGATACCATATGGTATGCAGTTGGTATCGAGAGGCCAAATTTTTTTTTCTAAAAAAATATTGAAAATTATTCTCATTTGGTAGAGCACGATGAACTCGTTCTATCTGTGCAAAAGAAATTAAAAACCGAGTTAAAACGAAAAAGATATGAGCCGATTAAGAAAGTTAGGAAACATAAAAATGGTCCTTAATTTTCCATCCTTAGATCTGGATTTTCTAAATGAAGAGTCCAGATTTGATTATTGATGGATGCATAACTCATAACTCATGGTTATGCACGCTATCTTGAGCTTTTTTTCCCCTCTTGCATCTATCTCGTTCCCTTCGCTAGAAAAACGACGACAACTCTCATCTCCTTTTCTTTCCTTTCTCCTCCAAACCCACGAATCCCCCAAACCGAACCAAAAAGGGCTTCACCTTCTTCTTCTTCTTCTTCTGTTCGATTTACCCCTCTCCCTCTCTTTACTTCTGGAAACAAACGAGCGAAGCGAAGACAATACTTTTGCCGGCGGCGACTGGAGTCGAACACCGCCGACGTTGACAATGACGACGACGGGAGACGCCGTTTCACAACGGCGACGAAGCTGAGTGGTGATTTTTTTTTTATCTTACATGGCGATCTCTCTGAGGGTTTCGTTTGATTCTGGTTTTGGGAAGTTATACCTGAGGTTTTCTTTCATTTCTGGTTTTAATGGCGGACGAAGGAGGAAGAGAAGGCCGACGACGAGGAGGGGTGACGCCGTTTCACCACGGCGACGAAGGTGAATGGCGATTTGTTTATGTTACATATCGATTTCTCTGTGGTTTTCATTTGATTCTGTTTTTGGGAAGTTAGATCTGAGTTTTTCTTTGATTTAACCTTCCTTCGATATGACTTGGTTAGGAATCTCAAATTTGGTTGAGTTATGGATGGTTTAGATTTAGTAGAATCGCTAGATCTGTCCTATCATACCAATTAAAATAAGTTTACCCAACTGAATGGTTTTCGATTCATGTTACATGAGTTTGAATGATTCTATATTTCTGATGGCTTTAATTTTATCCAAGATTCAGATTGCTGGGTTGTGGATTTTGGGTTTCGGGTTCTGGTCGTTGTTCCTATGTTTTGGTCCGGATATGGGTTTGTACATGCTCACCTTTGATATAAGGAGGATATTCTTGTTCGACTTGTTTACCATTAAAAAATCTGAAATCCAGGGAGAAAGAATGTCTGGTAAATGTTGCGTGGTGACCGGAGGCAGGGGCTTTGCCGCCAGGCATTTGGTGGATATGCTCATCAGATCAGACAAGTTCCTCGTTCGGATAGCTGATCTACCTCCCGCCATCGACCTCTCCCCGGAGGAGGAGAATGGAGACCTCGGTCGTGCATTGGAATCCGGCCGCGCTTCCTACGTCTCTATGGATCTCCGCAACAAGCCCCAAGTCCTCCAAGGTTTTTACAATCTTCTTTTATTGCTTTCGATTCGGTTTGGGGTTCTTATTGCTGCAGCTCTTAAAGGAGAATGGAGACCTCACTCCTGCTTTTTGTTTGTTTTCTTTTTGCTGCAGCTCTTAAAGGAGCCGAGGTTGTTTTCCACATGGCGGCCCCGCATTCAGGTATCAACAACTATCAGCTCCACTATTCAGTCAACGTGGAAGGGACCAAGAACGTGATTGATGCTTGCGTCGAGCTTAAAGTGAAGATCCTAATCTTCACTAGCTCTGCTAGTGTGGTTTTTGATGGGATTCATCCAATCTTCAATGGAGATGAAGCATTGCCGTATCCACCCAAGGTAGTATTTCATTGCATACTTCTTCTTCAGGATGTTGATCTTAGAACTAAGCCTGCTAGATGGAGATGGCTTATGGTGGTTGTAATTGTTTCAGCCTCTTGATTCCTACTCCGCGACTAAAGCAGAAGCGGAGGCTGCTGTTCTTAAGGCAAATGGTACTAATGGGCTTCTTACTTGCTCCTTACGTCCTAGTAGCATATTTGGTCCTGGAGATAAATTGTTTATTCCTTCTCTTGCTGAGTCGGCGAGGGCTGGCAAATCCAAGGTAATGCTTGTTATTAGATAGAGCATCACACATTGACAATCCTTCTCTTGCTATTTCTGTCATACTTGACGACACATGTATGTCTGTTACTTCCAGCATTATAATGAGGCTGTTTAGCTATTAATTTTTCTTTGGTAATATCTATGAGCAGTTCTTAATTGGTGATGGCAACAACGTCTACGACTTCACGTATGTTGAGAATGTGGCACATGCTCACATATGTGCTGAACAAACTTTGTCATCATCAGGGGAGGCTGCAGAGAAAGCTGCAGGGCAGGTACGATTAAGATTTTGTTACACTCACAAAGGTTATGTTTGATTGGACATTGAATGCAAAAGAATCTGAAACTAGCAGTATTTTTAAGTCTAATGAGGAGTAGGTTTGTCTTATGCGAACTCGTTCTATACAGTTGTATTTTTCGGCTTGTTTTTGTAGAAAGGGCAGGTGTAGCTGTAATGTTTTCCTGTGACATTGCTCCACTCATTACAAAATTACAGAGTAAAATTAATGAAGGTTCTTTTTCAGTTTTTCCTGAATTAATGTTTCATCTGTTGCTGAAATCCAATGCTTAAGCATGTTGGGCTGTAGATGGTTAAGGATAAAATAAAGTTGCATTACCCTGTCCATTTGCTGTGTGAATGATGATAATCAATCATAACATCTGCTGGTGGTATTATGTTGTGGTTTTCTTTAAGGTAAAAACCTAAGCCAGCCAATCGTATTGAAAATTTCCAGACTCCATTAGTATTATGAACGAGCAGTTATTGTTAGGAACTTGGTAGCCTTTCAAGTCTTATACCTTAGGTACCTTTCATACTGAAAGTTGAGTCATTCATACCGTTTTATGTTCGTTAATTGCTTTGAAGATGCTAAATATGCAATAAGTTCTGTTTTCTTCGTTTGAGGGGTTCTTCATTGGCAGCATTGATACGTTATTGCAGTATGTGCATTATGGATTAGTTTCTTTCTCTCGTGGTGGATACATGATTATCCCATTCTTGAAAAACTCTGAAGATGATAACCCTATTTCACCCATGTAATGTTGGTGTTTGCTTCCAAGTCATGCCTGCATGATTGGGACGTGGTTCGTGGATCATTTCTCAAATGTTAGTTGATATTTATAGGCATATTTTATAACCAACATGGAGCCTATCAAGTTTTGGGAGTTCACTGGAAATGTTTGTGCAGGTCTTGGTTATGAGAGGTACTTATATTTGAACATTAAATTTTTAACTACTACTTTGTGTTAGAATTGATCGAAATACTTCTCATTGATAGCTTGTTACACGTTTGCAACCTCTGACTTAGAAAAGTGATTTGCGTGACCTCTCTTGGTCCATTGTCAGTTAAAGCGCTCTTTTGTTCCACAATGGTTTGCAAACACTGGCATTCAGTATCTATAAATAAGTATTCTGCTCACTATGCAGTGAACTAGCTCTGAATATCTGCTCTATTCTATTTCTTTTTAACTTGATTTGATGTACTTTGCAGGCCAAGGATCAAGGTTCCTGCTGTTGCTGTATTGCCAGTTGCTCATGCAATTCAGTGGGCATATAATCTACTCGGCACATATGGGATGAAGCTCCCAGTGCTGATTCCTTCAAGAATTAGGCTTCTTTCTGGCAACCGATCATTTAGTTGTGCAAAGGCTCATGAACGTCTTGGCTATACACCAATTGTATCACTCGAGGTTTGGCAACATTCTGCTGTGATTCAATTTCTTTATTTAGTGCAAACAAGGGCTTGGTCCAGTGTTATTGTCATTGGTCTTGAACCTGGAGGTCTCATGTTCGAGTCCCTTCAGTAGCACCTAATTAAAAAAACTAACATATATCATCCTTATAAAAAGAATTCTCTATTCAGTGATGTTATGCATTGTTTTGTGAATAAAGGAAATTATCCTTGTACAACTTCCACAAAAGTTGGATAGTATAAAATTACGAAGTTCAATCACCTCCAGATGTCCTAACTTATTACTGTGAAATTGTTAAATATCTCTTCAACGTAAATAAGTGTCCGTCAAACTGTTTTTCCATGCAAACCCAGTCTTGGTATACGGAGCTTGGTCTCATTTAATCCGCATGGTGAAATAATAAGTCTGTTTTTCACATTTCCTCTCTTGGGTCAGACTAATTGTGCTTTAATGTCTTTGTATAACTGGTCTCCGAGCTTATAATTACCCTGTTTATTTGCTGTGCCAGCTAATAATATATATTAACAGCTACAAGTGGAGGCACATAAATAAGAAACAACTTATACAGCAGTACCTGTGCAGTTGAGTTTATCTTTTTCGATTGCAGGATGGTTTGAAAAGGACTATTGAGTCATTTTCACATCTTAATGCTGAGAATCAACCTAAAAGAGATGGGCCATCTAAGGCTTCATTATATCTTGGAAATGGAAGAGGTATGATTGTTAAATTATTTGCTATAATTGTTAGAGTGTGTCTTTCACGTTGTGCCAAGAGGGAGAAACAAATGTGCAGACTGGGTCATGAAATCCAGAGCTAATTGGACCTTCCTAATTATTGAATTCATATCTAGATCTCTTTTACCACCTGATGTAATATACTTAGCTTGTACTTCAACCGCAGTTACAAATGTGATGGAAACCCGACTAGTGGTGCCGGAGCCCTTTTGTTTTTTTTACTATTATTATTTTGTTGAGTTATTTTTCAGAACAACTATTTAAGGATTAAGACATTGTTATTTTAGATGATGAAAGAACAATATTGAATATGTAATTTCTCAACTCTCCTTCTCTTCTCTTCCTTCCGCTTCTTCCCCCAAATTCCCTTATCAATTCTGCCTCAATTGCTAATTTCTCTTCTCAATCCCTAATACCTGTCATTGCAATTATCATTTGCAGTTGCTGACACACTACTTTGGAAGGATACCAAGAAGACACTCATCGTGTTGCTAGTTCTAATGGGGATTTACTACAGTTTCATTTCGTCTAATTCTACCATTATTACTGCGACTTCAAAGCTTCTCTTGATGGCAGCAATTTTTCTATTCGTCCACGGCAGATTACCTGAGAAAATGTATGTCCCTTATCTCTTCCTTTCAGTTCAGTCCTATGTTGATTTTCGTGCGACTATAAGTGTGCAGTTGCCATTGATTTGATGTCTTTGGATGGGTATCGCTGGATGCACAACCCATTTGCTTCTTACTGCCTTAAAGTCTAGAACAAGCAGCTTTGAGTTTGACCAACAGAAAAGTATGATTTGTGTTTGTATTATACTCCAATCTCTTGGTGTAAATTTGGAAGGGAGACGTTTCTTCATCTAGATTAAATGCAGCGCTAACTAATATAAAGCCACATTGAATAATGTATGAGCTTTTGGATCTGTATGTTTTGTCAGTAAGAGCCTTAAGGTGCTCAGAAGTATAAATATTGGATGTGAGAACCATCATAGAAGCTTTCAGTGTTGTTTAATTAAGAGAACTGGACTATTATAGTGTGCTAGTGACACATTTGATTCATATGCTCAGATTTGGGTATAAAATCGAAAAGATCCATCCGTCTGATTTTTACTGGACTGAGAAGAAGTCTTACCAAGTTGCTCATGTATTAGCTTCGTTCTGGAATGTCGGGATCAACATTCTAGAATCTCTTTGCAGAGGGAAGGACTGGTTGGTTTTCCTCAAGGTACTTAAATGTTTACGAGATGTTTACATTCTGTGTAAAATGTTTAGTAAGTGATGTACATAAAGTGGTATAGTACGAATAAGAGTCTTTACTAGTGGTTGTTTAAGTTATTCAAACGAGTGAACACTTTGTTTTAACTAGCTTGTGTAAAATGCTCTTACGTTGGAACAGGTTGTCTTGTCGCTGTTGATCATTGGCTTCATAGGGACCATTTCCCTTCACTCATTGTTTGTAATGGGTACTCTCTTTTTTTTTACCAAATCTTATACTTGGCCTTCTGATCAGTAATTAATTAAGTTGCTAATCGCCATGTCACGTGATTATCATAACTGCAGGAGTTCCCACAACTTTTTTAGGGTTCTACTTGTACGAATGGAACGAAGAAGCGCTTGATGGTTTGGTGTCGGATGCTCTCTCTTACGGATATAAATTGAAATCTCAAATCATCCACAAAGTAACTGGTCCAAAACTTGACTAACAATGAAGGCTCATTAGATAAACTATGCAGTTTCTTCTTTGTGCCCCTCCCTTGGTTGACAGTTTTGTAAAGGTCACGGAAACATACATGGTCAGCTGGGATACTTCTGTTTGTATCGAGTGTTACACTAACAGCGTAATGCAATCTGTTTTTGATTTTATTTGGCTACTATAACTTGATCATTTAAACTTCTAGTATTAGGCATATCATTTGCCAGTCACCATGGGACGGGCTAGCATGCTAACCCCTTAAGGGGTTGGTTTTTTGACACCCCCCTTTTAATTGGTCAATTTTTCATTAATTATTGACAAGTATTAATGAAAGTAAATATAATAAATGTTATGTTATTAAATACAAAGTAAGCATTAAATATACCACATTAATTACCACTTTACTGGTATTTGTACCACTGCACTGATACTCAGATATGACATTGCTACCAGTGCACTGATATCGCTACTAGTGCAGTGGTACATCTACCAGTACAGTGGTACAACGTATCAGTGCATTGGTATATCTACCAGTACAGTGGTACAACGTATCAGTGCAGTGGTATATCTACCAGTACAGTGGTACATCGTATCAGTGTAGTGGTATATTTTTTGGAGGTGGTCGGAGGGAGTCTGCCGATGGGATTTTCACCGGAGAAGTGTGGCGGTTGAAGGAAGTCTGGTAGTCGAAGACTGCTTAAAAAGGAAAAATCAAATATAGTGAGAGAATTCCTAATGTGTATTTAATGTGTGTATTTAATTCCTAATGTGTATTTAATAGTGAGAGAATTCCTAATTAATATGGTACATTTAATTCCTAATGTGTATTTAATGTGTGTATTAATTATTGTGTATTAATTATAGTTGTATTTAATATACTAGGAGGGTGTCATTTTTCCAACCCCTAAGGGGGTTAGCATGCTAACCGACCCCAGTCACCATTCATCTCTATACTAGTTGGCATCATCGTCTTTGTCCTTGCCTATTTTGGAAGTAACACGTTTGGTATAATTATCATTCAAAATGAAAGGTTAATTACAACACATCAATCTTGTTGGGAGTTGAACTCGGGAGTTGATTTTTTTTTTTCCGTTGAATTGGTAGTTGATATTTGACGTCCTATGAATTTAAAAATTTCGTTCTAAATTTGGAAAATGTACACCTTTGGCACTGAAATTAATTTATTCCATCCGTAGTCATTCAAATTAGTACAACAGTTCAAGTTTGGTCACTCTTCGTTAGTCTCTGTTAACTTTGAGCTGACGTGGCAGTCAACTCTGAGAGTTGATCATTAAATACGTGACGTGATAATTAAAAAATAATAAAATTTAATCTTTTAAAAATTCCACATAATTATATGATTATCACAATAAATTGAAAAATAATAAATAATAATAATAATTGCAATAACAAAAAATGAAAAATTGGAAAAAAAAAAAAAATTCATTCTCACATCCTATTTAACGAGGGTGCTTTAAATTGTGGAAGCTATGGATGTGGGTGGGCTCGTGGCACGCACATCCTAATTATCCTCCATGTGCCGACAAACCTTTTCGGACCTTCCTACACACACAACTTCACATCTCCGCCGTAGTGCTCAGGCTGTCTCAGGTGACGATGTCCTGTCCGACCTCATTCAAATCTCCCTCTCTTCTTCAACCCGCATCCCAATTTCTTTCCACTGCAATTTGGTCTCCCTTTCAGAAACCCACAACTTTCCCTCCCATCATCCGGTCTCAAATTTCATTGTGCAGAGCCAAAAACCCCAACCCTCACAGCTGCTCCGCCGTCTCCGGCAGCTCACCCGTAGAACCATCTCCGTTGCCGTCGACCATCGTTTTCCTAAACTGAAACGGAAGGACAAGTTTGGGATTGATTTTCCAATTTTCCAATTTTTATTGCAATTATTATTATTTTTTAATTTATCGTGTTAATGAGGTGGAATGTTTAAAAGATTATTTTTTTATTTTTAATTTCCACGTCACTTATTTAACGGTTAACTCTTAGAGTTGACTGCCACGTCAGCTAAAGTTAACGGAGACTAACAGAGAGTGACCAAACTTGAACTGCTGAACTAATTTGAGTGACTATGGATGAAATAGAATAAATGAATGAGGCAATGGAGAATGATTCTAGTGGAGCCGTTTAGTAGAACCTTGTTCTTCTCTAAGAACACTACCAAAGCTACTAGGATTGAGGTGTGCTCTAGACTTGGTATTCAGGAAACCTATGACCTTGGGAGATACCTGGGGATGCCAGTGATCCATGGCAGAATGACCAGGAATACTTACAGGTTTGTTTTAGAAAAGATGGATGGCAAACTTACAGCATCGAAAGCCAAAACGCTATCACTTGCTGGTAGAGTTACACTAGCCTTGGCTGTCCTGAATGCCATTCCTAACTTTGCTATGCAAACTTCCCCCCTTCCTCTCTCTGTCTGTGATAAAATTGACAAAAAGATTAGGAGGTTTGTTTGGGGAGAGCAGGAGGGTAAAAGAAAGACCCACCTGGTCTCTTGGAACACTATTTGTAAGCCTAAGAGCCAAGGTGGTCTGGGCCTCAGATCTGCCAGAAACTTGAACATGGCATACATGATCAAGTTGGCTTGGTAGATACTTAACAACGATTCTGAGCTTTGGGTGCAGGTCCTACAAGGGAAGTATTTTAAGCATAAAGATGGTGCCATTACCTCTATGAAGAAGAGTAATCATTCAAACTTGTGGAAGGCGATTGTCAAAGCAATGCCTCTGATGAAAAGTGGCTGTTGCTGGAGCATCAGGAATGGGGAGTCTACAAGTTTTTGGTCTCATCCATGGATTGACTGTGATCTCAAACTTGAAGATTTCCTCCTTGGCGACCTGACACCCACTGAAAGGAACTCACCAGTGGCAGCATGGGCTACTGAAGAAGGTGAGTGGGACTGGAACCGACTCAAACCACTCCTCCCTGATGACATTCTTAATCTGATTGCAGGCATAGAAGTTCCGAATGCACATCTTGGCGAGGACAAAACCATATGGGCAATGGAACGTGATGGGAGGTTTAGACTCAAATCGGCCTATGCACTTGCTGCAGGGTTGGATGAGGCTGATGATGATCAAAGCTGGACTAAACTATGGAAATGGAAGGGACCAAACATAGTTAAGTATTTTTTGTGGCAGGTGATGCACGATCGCTTAATGACTAACAAGCATTTTTTGTCACTGTTATTCTTTTGGTACACATTCATTCGATGTGTACGAAGTCGGTCTTAGACACTGGCTCTTTCATGATGTAATGGGGATTTCCCAGGACCGTTTTATTACAATAATGAATTAGACGCACTAGCGTCAATCTTTCTACAAAAAAAAAAAAATAATTCATTTTTTCACCAAATAGGCTCGTGGGCTCACGAAAAGTTCGGTTTAAAGTGAAATATCTTATTGTACCGATGGTCAATGAGTGGAAGGGAGGTTGCGTTGGAATCATATGACCGGGAGGAACGCCATAGAGTTGGAATTTGCATGAAAAAGGTCTCTAAAGAAATTTTATTTTTTCACCAAATAGGCTTGTGGGCTCACGAAAAAGTTCGGTTTAAAGTGAAATATCTCATTGTAACGGTGTTCAATGACTCGAAGGGAGGTTGCGTTGGAATCGTGTGACGGAGAGGAACGCCATAGTGTTGGAATTTGCAAGAAAAAAGGTCTCTAAAGAAATTTCATTTTTTTCCATCAAATAGGCTTGTGGGCTCACGAAAAGTTCGATTTAAAAGGAAATTTCTCATTGCACCGATGGCCAATGAGGGGAAGGGAGGTTGCGTTGGAATCGTGTGACCGAGAGGAACGCCATAGAGTTTGAATTTGCAAGAAAAAAGCTCTTAAAAGAAATTTCATTTTTTCATCAAATAGCCTTGTGGGTCACGAACAGTTCGGTTTAAAGTGAAATATCTCATTGCATCGGTGGCCAATGAGTGGAAGGGAGGTTGCGTTGGAATCATATGACCGAGAGGAACGTCATAGAGTTGGAATTTGCAAGAAAAAAGCTCTTAAAAGAAATTTCATTTTTCATCAAATAACCTTGTGGGTCACGAACAGTTCGGTTTAAAGTGAAATATCTCATTGCACCGGTGGCCAATGAATGGAAGGGAGGTTGCGTTGGAATCATATGACCGAGAGGAACGTCATAGAGTTGGAATTTGCAAGAAAAAAGGTATCTAAAGAAATTTCAATTTTTCAACAAATAGGCTTGCGGGCTCACGGGAAGTTCGGTTTAAAGTGCAATTTCTCATTGCACAGATGGCCAATGAGGGGAAGGGAGGTTGCGTTGGAATCGTATGACCAAGAAAAACGCCATAGAGTTGAAATTTGAAAGAAAAAGGTCTCTAAAGATATTTCATTTTTTCACCAAATAGGCTTGTGGGCTCACGAAAAGTTTGGTTTAAAGTGCAATTTCTCATTGCACCGATGGCCAATGAGTGGAAGGGAGGTTGCGTTGGAATCATATGACCGAGAGGAACACCATAGAGTTGGAATTTGAAGGTAAATGGTCTCTAAAAAAATTTCATTTTTCACCAAATAGGCTTGTGGGCTCACGAAAAGTTCGGTTTAGAGTGAAATATCTCATTGCACCGATGATCAATGAGTGGAAGGGAGGTTGCGTTGGAATCAAATGACCGAGAGGAACGCCATAGAGTTGGAATTTGCAAGAAAAATGGTCTCTAAAGAAATTTCGTTTTTTCACCAAATAGGCTAGTGGGCTAACGAAAATTTCGGTTTAAAGTGCAATTTCTCATTGCACCGATGACCAATGAGGGGAAGGGAGGTTGAGTTGGAATAGTGTGACCTAGAAGAACGCCACAGAGTTGGAATTTTTAAGAAAAAAGCTCTTATAAGAAATTTCATTTTTTCATCAAATAGCCTTGTGGGTCTCGAATAGTTCGGTTTAAAGTGAAATATCTCATTGCACCGGTGGCCAATGAGTGGAAGGGAGGTTGAGTAAAAATCGTATGACCGAGAGGAACACCATAGAGTTGGAATTTTCCAGAAAAAATGTCTCTAAAGAAATTTCATTTTTTCATCAAATAGGCTTGTGGGTCACGAAAAGTTCGGCTTAAAGTGCAGTATCTCATTGCACCGATGGCCAATGAGTGGAAGGGAGGTTGCGTTGGAATCGTATGACCGAGAGGAACGCCATATAGTTGGAATTTGCAAGAAAAAAGGTCTCTAAAGAAATTTCATTTTTTCACCAAATAGGCTTGTGGGCTCACGAAAAGTTCGGTTTAAAGTGCAATTTCTCATTGCACCGATGGCCAATGAGGGGAAGGGAGGTTGCGTTGGAATCGTGTGACCGAGAGGAACGCCATAGAGTTGGAATTTGCAAGAAAAAGGTCTCTAAAGAAATTTCATTTTTTCACCAAATAGGCTT